ATCGGACCCTTGAGTTAAGGCGACTTTTCTACAGTACCGGTAGCTTTAACGGATCTTAGGCTCCGTGGAGGGCAGATATTGCATATGTGCTACGATACGCCGGGTATGATTGCTGGAATAGGAGATGTCGAGGGGGTTTCGTAGCGCAGTAGGGCTTCTACTCGTATTGTGCGGTGAGAGGCTCAGAGGTGTTCGGGATCCGATTGGGGGGGGATACGTCAGGCTCGGGGCGTTGGCGAGGCTGAGAAGCACAGAAACTTAGAACGAGTGATTATTTGTGATCCTCCGAAACCAGTATTGGAGTATTTCTTGGAGCTTGGGTTTGGCAAAGGCGGGATTAGGAATCAAGACTGGTATTGAGGTGGGCTCAATCTCCGTGCCTCCTCTATACAGATTACGTCTATTGTCATAGGAGCGCTGGCCCGGTTGTCCTTGATTCGACTTGGCGCGAGGCGGGATTTGGGGGTTCATGGGCATAGGGAAAGGCGAAGGCGAAGGCTAGATAGCTGGAGCTGGTACGGGTGTTAATTATCCTAGCCGCATTGCTTCAATAGTGTTCAGGGTCGTGTGTGCGGTACAAAATTTGGTATTAGTGGTTAGGCGGAATTCGGTCTCGTATCAAATGCTTCCTATATACATGAATTGCTATTTTTAAGCTCTAGCCCTCGCCCTCGTGTGGTATGATACACTGATGTTCATGCGCCTCTGGAACTCACAGCCGAAAGGGTTTGAGGTTGAGAAATGTCAGCGACCTTCCGATAGAGAGAAGTATGATGGGACTGAAGGACTGTGGTGATTGCTGTTTTTTCTACTTATTTCCACTCACCATCTCAATGATGATGCCCTAGTCTCCTGCTCCGCCTGGTCTCCTCCACTCGGGACCACATGGCGCAGGACCAAGCATTTGCCCTGAATCACCTCCTGGCACGTGAGGATTCCGCCGAATAGTAACTGCTTACAGGCCATTGTATGAAACTGAACGTTTCCGGAATTGGTAGGCATGAAAGCTTCGTTGAGGTCATCCTATTCGAGCTCTTGCCTGCTCTCTAGCTGTAAATTGTGAGAAGATATAGTGGCAACTCGACTAATCGCAGAAAGTGCTGTATCGTTGGCCTTGACTCCTCTATCAAGGCCTAATGTTTTTTCTTTCTTTCTTTTATTTTTGCTGGTACGGGCTTTAGTACCACAGGTATTTATGTTCTACTTGGATAAATGTAGCCTTTGTAAAGTAAATCTATATTATAGAAAACAACATAGATTTACAGTACTATGGCTTCTCTTTTGAGATTTATATTGCTGTGCAATCATTGCAGATTACCAAAAGGTAATGCATGAAAGCAAGTGGCTTTCTCCTATCTATACTAGAATATGCCCTTCGACCTGCCCACCTATGTTTCCATTCCACCTATTCTTATACGTTTTTCTCCTGTTTGAATTAGTAAATACCCCCCTACCTACCCACCTATAATTTTATCTAAATAAAATTGGGCTCTGTTTTGCCTGCACGATGCCAATAAGGGTATATTTCAATTCTTTTAAGGAGGAGGAGTATGTTCCATAATACCCAAAGCAGGTTAATTGCAGGGAGAAGATCTTTGTCATAGTTGGACAACAGATGCTCTTCCATCCGTTCTGTTATTTTGTTTATTCGGTTATCTGATAACCTTAAGATGGCCTGATAATCTTGGCGGTATTGGAGGGATTGCACGGTATGGGAGGAATAGAACATAAGTACCCGTGGCGTTGGAGAATTTTACCCATATTTTTACTGTCTTTTACAGGAGCTGAGCAGCTCTCTATTCTGGTGCGTTTTCATTCCCCTTTCCAGAGTGGGGGATTCTTGTCTGCGCAGCACATGGTTCGGTTATTCGATCTCTAAGGTATAATGACTCACTGGAAACACCTGTCATATTGGGAACGCTTTCTTGTATGATCTGTGTGGAAAGAGGATAAAACAGAGACTTAACCTGATCTTGACAGAGCCCTCTTTGGCTAAAGCTTGAGTCAGATTTAAGCGGTGTGTGAGGGTGATGGAATAAGTTGGAAACGCGAGTTGGTGAGTGAGCGGGGTGGGAAATTTGAAACAGATTGTTTGGGTATGATATGGAATATTCGGAGCATTCTGCAATTCAGAGGGGGGTTATGCGAGCCATTTGAATGGTGATTCTATTCCCGAAACTGGGTGGGCTCGTTCGGTATTGAAGGATATAATAATGGCAATTTTTGCTCGAGTCTACGATAGTCGAGATTGGTACGCAGGAGAGGGAGGTCGGGTCACGTTGATCGGGGAGGATGTAGAAGCCTCGGCGAACGGAGGGAATTTGCTACTGTGAATTCGGTCCTTGCGTTCATTCGGTGTCTGAAAATTAATACCCGGGACACATTTTGCCGGCGTTCCATCAAGTTCGCGATGGGGGAGCACGTATAAGCGTAGACGAGTCCGGGCGGTTCGAATATACGGGCCATGGGACATAAGCTCCTAGAGCTAATTCCTCCTACTAGACGAGTCCCTTGAAGCCAAGCGTTGAGCTCCCTCGTATCCTTTACTCACAGTTCTAAGGAATGACATTTTGTCCTAGCAGAGTCTCCGCCACCGGGCTATATTTCGCTATTATTCCGGTAATAGAGGTACAGCACCATATTAGCCTACACCTAGCCAGTGTCTGGAGTTTTTGGACCTCACTGACTGTGTGCCCCCCCTACTACCCATCCCACCCTTTCATACGCACCCGCCGGGCTCTTGGAACTAAATTACCAGAAGGACGGAAGTCACAGAAGTACCAGTCCATCAGAAAAACGACAATATAAACCCCGTATAGAGGCTGTTCTGGGGAGTGCCCTCCAACCCCACACAATCACCCAAGATCACTCACATCGGATGTTGTTTTATGCGGCCACCCCGCCCTACTATCATGGCTCAAAAGTCTCTCTTAGTCTGGTGCGTATTGATTTCTTGTCCGCTGCTTTGCTGGAACAAAATTTTCATCAGTGTTCGGAGGATTGATTCTCCTTTCTTTCCCCGTTAAAAACACCTTGTACTATATGTGCTAGTCCTAACTTATCTGATTCCGCTCTCATTTCTCATTTTTTCTTTCTCTTTCTTTTCTTCTCTTTTACATCTAGCCGTGTATATATACATGTGATCTCTTATGGTGGGTTACAAATTAGGTCTTTGGTCATTTAGTTAACTGTATCATTCCTCGCAGGTTTTGGAATGGTAGGTTTCATTAACATGTGGGGTGGCAATCTCCGGCGATGGTAACTTACCAGGGGTTCATTGAAAACCGTTGGATGGGCCAGTGCCACAACACCCGTTATATCAAGGATCTCTGAGAATATCTCGGGAAGGTGGGGAAAAATGAATCCCACTATAGAAGGATTATGGGGGGGGGCAGCGGAGCCATGCTAGTCAATGATATTCTTGGACGATACAGGAGGATCGTCCTTGAATATTGTAGAGAGAAGCGGATGCTCACCCTACATGAGAAACTTTGGTGCACAGCGCCTGTTGAGCACAATTCACCCTATCGTACCCCCATCGCCTCGTTTCCTGCTGTCCTTGTCCAAAACCTCGAGTGATAACATGTGACTGGAGTTAGCTACGACCTGCGAATCTGAGCCACCAAATCCCAAGACCCAGTGGCGGTATGTTTATCTGGGAGTAGAAGGGATCTGGCAATCCCTTACAGGTTGCTACTTCTCTCATTTGCTTCCAAGCATGGGGTCCCTGGCGAGGTGGAGGGTGAGTCCCATCACATTAGAGCTAGTGTTGCAGCCATCGGTATATTACACACGTTCGGGGTGAGTGGTCGCTGTAAGCTACCCAGATGGTAGAAATGTGGCACATGCCATATCATATACTGTAGGCTTTGGTTTGTAGTATCCCTTTGTTTCTTCCCTTCTTATTTCTCTCGTCAAATATGGGGTTTGGTCTTTAACTTAGTTAATCAATTTCCTTCCCCGCCGTAAGAACTCTGTCGTATCGATAGAGCAGATCAGGCATACCGGGGGGGGGGGGAGTGGAGTGTAGCTAGTGGCATTCGAAGCCCTGGTTATGCTATGGTTTCTGGCTTCCTTGGACATCCCTTTCAATGATATGTATAGCGTGTGGGGGTGGGGATGCTCGCGGCAGGTTGGAGGGCATTAATATCTCCAGGCCAACTATCCGAATTGGGTCACGTGAAGAATTTGTCAGGGCCAATGCACTTGAACAAAGGGGTTGGAACTCCTGAGCGATTCACGTATTCCAAGGAGGGATCTATCAAGGATGAGGTAAATTTAATTCTATCTATCGGACTTCTCCAGATTTCCAAGAATTCGCAAGACACTTGCTGATTTCCCCTTGCTCACCCCGAGCCAGCAATTGCCCACCAATAATTTAAGCCACAAATCCAGCCACCCCACACTACCTCATACTCCCCTCAACCTCCTCCCTAACCTCTTCAACCTCCACCTCCTGGGGAACCAACTTCTTAGCCCCTCTCACTGCTTCCTCGGCCTTCTTCAGGTTTTCGTACAAACTTTCGATAAGCTCTGCTAGTTCTACTGCGAGCAGGTATACCTCGCCTACCCTTACTTCGCTCGAGGGGTGGGCTTGTTCTAGGACTGTGCTGAGTTTTTGGTTCACAGCTCGCGCGAGAGATTCGGACTTCTCCAGGGTTTCACGGAGGGAGTGGATGATTGATGTTGATGTCATTTTCCTGTTCTCTCGTTTTGACTTGCTTGGTGTGGTTGTGTTGCGGTTGTGATCTTTATGTGGATGGGTAGAATAGCAAGGGTTGTTATGGGGTAATGCCGGTTTATCTATGCGAGGGGGCTGAGTGCAGGGGGTTGAAATTTTGGGAAGATGAACAATTAAGCGAGTGATAGAGTGTGAAGTGGTTTCCTTTGGGTTACGGGACTCGGGGCGATTCATGTTTGCGAGGTGGGTGGGTCTGGGGGGGATGGTTGTGTTGGTTTTTGATAAATTGGTGAAAATGGAGAGTATGAAAAGAGTGTCTAGACTACCAAAGTTGAGATTTCTATGACTAGCTAAAGAGTTAGGGGAGAGAAGGGGGAAGAAAAACAATAGTACTCCACTAAATGGCCCAAACGCCGTTGTTCCCCAGGACTGAAAATATATTGAAAAAGAAACCATCACAATCATCACTTCTTCTTCATAGCCGCAAACAACCCCTCCCTCTCCAACCCCGCCATCCCACTCCTCCTCCTCTTCTCCGCCGCTCGATAATACTCTACTCTAACCCTGACTAATCTCTCCTTTTCATTTCCCGCAACCTTCTCCCAGAACTTCCACCTCTCTTTTCCGCCCCCCGGCTTCACCTTCTCATTCAACGACGTCTCGCAATTCCAGCACAAACACTTCCTGTACTCCTCCCCACCAGTGGCCTCTTCGAACGCGGCACTAGTATACTCAACCCCATCGTCCAGCGTATCCTCAGAGAGCTTGTCGTTATGATCGATGAACCTCCCCGCCACATTCTTGCAATACTCGCGGTAAGTGACGGGCGTGAGCAGGGCCGAGTGCCAGACTAGGTCTATGTCGATGGTTGGGACTAGGATTTTCCCGGGGTGGAGTTTGAAGAGCGAGAAGTAGGTCTCGTATCTGTTTACTGCGCGCTGGAGGAAGCCGGAGGTGTCCGGGGGGTTGATTAACACCACGCTGCGGGTTTCGGGGCGCGCGCGGACTAGCGAGATGCTATCTAGGGGTAAGCGGCCCATGAGTGCTGGAGAGCGGATCCAGAGGTGGTGATGCATTTTGTCCACGAAGGAACCCTGGCGGAGGACAGCGAGGGAGAGGTTTAGCGAGTAGGGAGTTGGGGTTTCGACATAACAAGATTGTAAGAGCGGGAGGATGGGGTGTGTGCCTAACTGGGCGATTATTGAGGCTAAGGTTGGGTGGGATTGGATGGTTGGGGGCTCTGGGAAGGTTGTGCGGATGAGAGTGTTTAAGGAATTTAGAACGTCAAACGATGTGGGCGACGAGGGGTGGAGATATGTTGCCCCTTGCAGATCGAGGGATGTGATTCTGAGATTGTTAGCGCTGATTCTTGTCTTTGGGGCTCAGTGTTGCGAGACGAACCTCATCCGGAGATCCTCCCCGCCCTCTATTAGTGATTTGATATCTTTTCTGAATTTCCCAGCGCATAGTGATTCCATAGTTATACCCATCCCGCAGCCTTCACAATGGACTGCGAATTCCTCGCTGATCCACCCGCGTTTCCGTTTCTCGAGCTCGACTTCGCAGATGAAGACATCAATCTCCCTCGCGCATGCCGGACACTCGACAAACTTTTTCGGCGGGGATTTCCACAGAATTTCCTCGAGAATGTCAGGCGCTTGACGGCTAATCTTCTCCCAATATCGCGTGGCATGTCCGGAGAGTTTGTAATCCCATTTATCCTCGTCAATGGCTTCATGCTGCTCCCTGTTAGCCAGCTATATTTTAAGCGGGGCTGCGGGTACGATGTACGATATATTCATAAGGGAGAGCAACATTCATCATCTCGCACATTCCGAACCATATACAATCCTCATTGTACCTCCGTGGATTGAGCATGTAGGAATGCCAAACCATCAGCACATCCAACGGCGGCAATAAATCCCTCGGCAACATCTTCACCCCACTACCCTTATTTGACATCCCTGCTTCGCCTTCCTCCCGGGCCTTCAGTTCCCCATTCACAGCTTGCCACCATATTCCGAACCTCCCCACAGCAACCTCAACCACAGCTCTCCACCACAAATTCTTCTCCGGATCCTCCCCGAATATCTCGGAGAAGGCCTCTTCTTTATCTACCTGGTGGCGCAGCCGTGCAAAGGCCTCGAGCAATTCCAGGTGCACAGCGCACTGGGAAACCGTGGGTAGCCCTGACTCCACCGGCTGCAGCGTTGTGATAGTGAACACCTGAGGATCGGGAATGGCGGGCGTGTCCTTTTTTGTTGCGGCGGGAGGGAATACGGGTGGTGTTGTGCTTTCGCGGAAGTGTAGGGGTGACATGTTGGTTGTTTGCCAGATATTTATTATGGAAGGGAGGTAGAAAGGAAGAAGGGGGAGTTGTTTTATATCTTCAATGTTGGCGAGGTCTCGGTCGCCAAGCGGGGCAATGCTCACAGGGGTGCGGCTGTGATGTGAGAGGTTGTGTGACGGGGTACAATTGAGGTGGGAGAAGATTACTCCGGGATTTGGCGAGTAAGGCGTTCTGAAGGTTATGATATTTACCTACCAGTTGTCGTAGGTTAACCAGCCAACAACAGCTGCATTTGTTAAAGTTCTCGTATCCTTCCCGGTACCCCGGCTCTTGGAAACGCTCTGCCAACGCTCCTACTCCCATTATTCGGCAAAACAAATTGTGCTAAAATATTACGATACTGTATCCCTAGAGGCTTATCTGAGAACAGTCAGCTAAAAGGCTTTCTTGTTCTATTGTTGTTAATTGGCACAGTTCTTGAGGTACAAGAGAGGGGACAAGAGCTTGGCGAATGCGGCTGAACATCCCTGTCGGTTTCGGTTAATGTTCGCTACTCGAGTATCTTAACTTACCCTTTTGTGCGATACGGTAGTATTTTCCAAATATCGTATACAGTATGATATCTTTCAGCATCGTCTAGTGCGCTAACACTTTTGTTTTGTGAGTCTTACGTGAGGAGCAATGAAACTAAGGCTACGAACAAACCCTAAACCAATGAGTAACTCCAATTTATGGCCCATTTGAAGTTCGGGAGGGGAATTATAGGGGATCTCTCTGTATGTGATGTCTCGGGGGGGCAACAGGCCATATTTATGCTTAATCGGTTAAATGTGCGGTACAGTACCGGTTCACTGACTGGGAACTGTTAACTAGAACAGATAGGGACCATTTTTTTGGCTGGTTAACCTCAAATAACTGTTCCATAACCTCTTTCTTGACTTCGGTATTCCTATGCGCGATTACCATACCACGGGTTGGCCATAGCAGCCTTGGACATCGTCACGACCGTCATCGGGCCGAAATAGCCCGGCTCACTTCTCATTTGGGGCGCTCTCTTATTCGCATCTAATCCTTGCATGATGTTGGTGGTGTGGTGTTTTGATTGCTGTCACTGAACAGACTGTATTGTACCGGTACCGTTACTGTACGAGTAATGCGCCACGTCCGATCGGCCTTCGTGAGGTTTTTCTCGACAACTCTACTTGAGTAATCCTGGCGGGCTATGCCGTGATGGCAGTGAATCACATAAGTGAGCGGACCAGCGTTAGGAGATATTAACTTATCCGTATGATGAATATACCGGTAATGGGATACTAATGGGATCAAGCTGGCCGGGCACTATCAATCGGGACTTGACTTTATTCTGGGATTTCGGTGATCGCGAGAGCTCACTAATGGATTGAGGGTAGTTTGTGGCTCTTCTGCCCGTCTTGCGAGAGTTTCTGGGTGAGGAATGTGGCCAAAGACTGTTAATGTCGTCAGTGGCTAGCCATGGTTGGCAAGGTATGATATCATACCGCCACAGTAAAAACTCAAGTAGAAGGGAAATGCGGTGGGAATTTGAATTGAGCTCAGCCTTTAGAAAAAGAGATAATGCCGTAGAATCGAGTGGGATTGGATGAGACCATAGTTGGCGTTCAGCTCAAACCGCTTCCTGGGTGGGGAGAGTGGTAGTTTTTGTTTTCCTTGAATGATCGGTGGAAGGATCTTTTGTGGTATCGGTATCTGGGAAACACATCACTGTATTTTGCGCTTGGTTACTCGGACTCTCGCGACACTGCTAGGTATTAATCCTACGTTGACTTCAAAAGATCTAAGGGTGGGTCTTCGTCTATTAGATCTTCAAGTTGGGTTATGTCTTGAGTATAGGCGGTTGTGGTCGGGTCAGGGATCGCAGGATTTCGTTGTTTTGGAAAGTGTGAAACGCCAATCTTGAAACAAGAGAGTAGCTGGCCCTCTTGGAAAATAAAACAAGATATCGAAAAACCAACCTTACTATTCAAGTTTCATATATTGAAAGCTTGTGAATACTACGGATATAAGAGTTATCATTTTCACTTGCTCAAGGAATTTCTTCATTAACAGCACCAGTTCCAACACCATATAAAAACGGAAACAACGAATTGGAATACCGCAAACCGGCTCAGATATGACAATCTCAAGCCGAAACATCAACTCGTCCCTATTCTTCCCGGACAGTCTTCGGTCCGGCAACTTCATCCCGGTTAAAAACAACGGCGCTACCAACACTGAGGACTTTGTGGCTACCAACCAAGAGCTCACAGTGACCATAACTGAGATTAATGAGAGTGGTATCCGCGGTATAGCCCGTGGCGTGCACATCTACATCACCCCGTTTGCCTGCGGAGCTGCTGGACTTGAGCTTTCCGAAGGTCCTGGTCCTTTGGTGTACGTTTGTGATGACGGCGATGAAGTTGCTATTGGAGATGAAATCTTGGCGAAAGTTTTGGTCATGAGGAGGAGGGGGGTGGAGGAGGGGGGGGAGTTCTGTGCTATTGCTGGGATTTCTTGGGCTTGGGTTGATGCTAAGGCGAATGAGAAAGCCGATGAGAAAATGGAGATCTAGAGGTAGGTTGGAGATTAGGGTATGAAAATGTCAAGAGTAGGCTGGTAGGTCGTCGATCTTTGGGGTATGGTATGATATATCAAGTAAGTGTTGGTCTGTTGATCAGTTTTGCTTTCCTTTATTTCTCTATATAGCACCTTGGCTCTGTCGATACAGCAATAAATCATGGTTTTTTACACTGAAATTAGATTTGGGATTACTTGAAAGGGGGGATGTTGTCTGACTAGTAATAGTTTTCTGTTCTTTGGGGCGTATGTGCTGGGTAGTACGAGCAAACTACTGAGATCCGTGTCTTTATTATATCAGTTGTGCTCCACTTTCTAGTGTAGTGATAGAGAGCGGAAGAAACCAGACTAAATTCAAAATATATCACTCATCATGAGAACAACCGAGTTTATTTGTGTACTTGTATACTTAGGCCACCCCGGCTTGGGATTTGAAGGATGGATGGTGGCTATTTGTGAAGGCGCATCCGACTAACAGGGAAAAATAACAGATGGAGTTAAATATACAGTTTTTGAGGTAAACAGCTGTCTCAGCCACAACGGGATCCCCAACGGTACAAGTAATTGAACGATTGCCACCCGGAGGTAACGGTATTTAGGAATGATTCCTCATCTCTTTAAAATACCTCTTAGGGGAGCCCTACTACGTCTAATGGTGATACTAAACATTTACCTGGTCATGACTGTTGTCTAGGTAAAAACTTAGTTCGACAGATAGGCTCACGAGGTCTCCTGAAACATTGATATATGTTGTACTATAGTCATGAGAGCTGGAGCTTGGGGGGAAACTTGTGCCGGTCGGAGGGGCGGTATTTGGGGGTGGGGTGGGGAGGGTGTGGTGCACATAGTACTGTCGTGATTTTGTCTGGGCGCTCATAACGCACGGGCCTTTTGCCATATATATTTCGAGCTCCTGTTTTTTGTTCGGGTGCTTCTTGCCTGAGGCAGGTAGTAGTATTCAGCCACAACTTGACCCTTGAGTCGTAAGCTTGGGTGTCTTTTTAATTGACTCAGCATGCAACCAGTGCCAACTATCTAGCTACGCCTTAAGCTGATACCTGGGATTACCATGGTCAAGGGAGGAAAATATCGGCGAAGTACTAATAGCAGGTGATTGGGATAACTTGGCCCTAGGTTGATCGCAGAAATTGGTACGTTATCTAGGTACATTAGGCATCTTTTGCATCGTATACCCGGAAGCGCTGGGCTTAACTTATTTAATGGTATCATCCTGGGTTACTTAGGGTTTGAGGTATCTTGGTCTTAGTTAATTGTAAGTATTGGACCTTACTCACACTTTCGAGGGGTACGTACTCAGGCGCAAATTAAGGATTGGGACGCAGTGACATCAATACCTGTGTTGTAGTCACTAATTTTGGTTGCTGTTCTATCTCAATCTTTGATTTGCGCCTGAGTACTCTCTGACACTAAATGGGTTCGCAGAAGGTCAGTTTGGGCATCATGAACTCTCACTCGCGTCCTGCCTCTCTGCTCTGTCACCTAGAATATTATGCCGCCACACTGGTAACGTAGCTTGTTTCCCCTTTAGAATTAGGCAGGCCGTGTTGCGAGGTTTTTAGAAACTCCATTCACACAGAGAGTTGGGTTGAGGATGGTGAGCGCCGAATCGAAGTTGGGGGTGAAGCTTCTGAGGGATAAGGAAGGATCCGGAAGTGTACGTGGACAAAAAAGTAAAATAAAAAGCGCAGGGACGGGGCCATCGGTATAGCTAGTATATGTGAGCCCTGGAAACTAAATGGTGGATTTTGTATGGTCGGCTCATAGGTCGCTACTCGAGTAATAGCGATCTCAAAAGCAACTCTTACCTTGAGGGGTTTTGTCAACCGTAGGCAACAGCACTGCGAAACCCCCAAAAGAACGTCTGAGTCCCATTGTCTGACCTGTGATCTGCCGCCAAGAGTCCAGATTTATGTATGATATCATATTTTTTTGGAAGACGGCAAAGCCCGCTGAGGGGAGCCAACCAGAAAACTCAGCCATGAACGCCATAGCTCACAAGGCTTTCACTTAACACCAATCAGTACAAATTTTTTGCCGGTATTTCTGGAGATAGACTGAGATGCCATTGGTGGCTTTTGTTATCCTTTTTTTTCTTTGGAGGAAACATTACTGTAGTTGGGATATGGGTTTTGTGTATGAGCTGGCCATACCAGGTTGCCTAGAGAACGTTAAACTAGAAGGGGGCGGGGGGCGGGGTGGGGGACTTTAGGCTTCCAATACCTGAGTCGTTCAATGGGATTTCCTTAGCTTGGGGGGCGTACCGGTAGTGGTGTAGGTCGCCTCTCTCAACTCTTGGGCTATGGCAAACGGTTTGGGCTTTATCGTTTACCTTGATTCCGTATGATGGAGGGCCGGAAAATGCCAAGCCCCAAATAGGTGAGAGCTACAGTATCTTTCCTAGGGGGTATGATACTGTCAAAAACCAGGATTCTCAGTGGAAAGAGATTGTTGGATTGTTCTGGGGAGCTACTGGGGTAACTGTGCCATACCGGTACATGTGGGGGGCGGGCTATGGCTGCCTGCGCATGAGGGCCATGGGAAACAGTTACCCCGCAGATCGTTGCATTTTTTTGTTGTGTCTTGAACCCAAATTAAGTGCCAAAGTTCGAGGCTATGATTGTCGGGTCCCAGCCTCCACATTGAAAGCTGGCTTGACCACCAATCATCTGGGAGCGGAGATGGTTGTCAATTGGTAAAGCATCCAGGGGTAAGAGCACCAGGAATTAGCGCTCCACACCCAAATCCGATGATCCTGGCATCTATATCTCCGGATATTTTACGAATCGGCGAGTAGGGCCTACTAATGGTGTGCCTTTTTGTTTGGTATTCTGCAGTTAGTTGCGGCTGTGACGGAGACCATTGGGTATCACTCGCAGTCTTTTTCTCGGCTTCGGGAATTTTCGAGGGGGAAGACAATCTAATTCTTTAGAAGGCAAAATAGATGAATGAACTCGTACCCCGAGAAATACATATTGATTCTTAAAGATTTATGTTTACAATTCATTTCTTCTCAAATCCTAGCAATACTTATGCGAATGGGCAAGAGATAAAATATTAAAAGTAGAAACAAGAGTTATGAAATTAGAGAGGCTTCTATGACAAGAAAATGCGTTTAGTTTGAGAAATTCAATGGGAATCAGGAAATGGTGTCTTTTTTTCTGATCGAGAACTCTATATCATACACAACCCAGGGGATTTTTTTCGAGCAGATCATTGTCTGGTTAGGTGCTCCGCTCGGTAAGAGAAGCATGAGAGGTCCCCGCAGTGCTCCCGCAGGGCGATACCAGGCCGTTATTAGGTGGGGGATTTTATATAGTCTTTGGAGGCGATTGGCAGCGGAGAAAATTTACTTATGAAAAGTAGTGAGGAAAGTCAGGTCGCCTGGCCAAGTCTTCACCCTTATCAAATTGGTATGGTAAGCATTCCATTGAGAGAAGTAACTATGGTTCATTCGTGCTGGTGCATCTCACCTTCCTCCACAACGTCGTTTTCGGGAAATGTTTGAAACTGCTTCAGGTCAAACCCCGCAAAGTTCCATTTGGGCTTTGCGTCTTTGAGTTTCTCCTGAAAACCTTCCACGAGCTGGATGTATTTTTCCTCTCTGAGTTTCTCCTGAGAAGTTTCCACAAGCTGGACGTATTTTTCCTCTGTATCTTTTGAGCCCTCCTTTTTCGTAGGGTCGCTAGCAACAAGATGGTGTATTTTGTCCGCGAATACTGTCCTTTTATCCCATAGGTCCACAGCCGCATTTGCTATCACAAGTGCGGCCCTCGCCCGTCTCGGGGGTATGGCGCTTGGAAGGTCTGGCAAGCTGGAGGAGTTCGAGGGTCCGGGGTGGTGAGATGCTGCAGTTGGGCTGCCCGGCGTCTGGTCCAGGGTGCATAGGTCAGTATTGACGGTAATTGGCCCTGGCGGTATGCGAGGGAGATCATTCTCTAGGGCCTTAAGTAGATGGACTACTCCCTGGGGTTTGCCTTCCAAGACCGCACCCTTAAAGAGGCTATATCCCACGCTTTTCAAACAATTTTGCATAGCTGTCGTGAAAAATGCCCGCGCAGCTGCCCCCGCACTAGTTGGGTCCGGATGTTCTGTATATTCGCTTATGTAGCTGCTCACAAAACCAATTATCTCCTCCGAGATCTCATGCGCCTTTTGCTTGATTATTCCTATAGTAGGAATTCCCCGCTCACATTAGTTACTGTGGAGTAGTCATGTTGCCGATGGAAATGGATGGAGCTTACCTCTCAACTCCATTGGAAGAAGGGCTACATGTTCAGGGCCCTCTAGGGTGCCCTCCAGGTCCATAACCATCTCATGGGTAGCTTGTTCGAAGATCTCTGGAATATCGAAAACCAGGGCCGCAAATATCCACTGCTCAATAGGGGCGTGATCTCCTTCATCTGGATCGTTTGGCTTCCACGTTGGGCGACCAACAAGGAGAGTCGTGAGCTTGTCGGTGCGGCATCCAAACTCCCAACAAGTTGCGGCTAAACTCACAAAGTCCTCAAAACAATTGATCCTCCAGCTCGTATTGATTCCGTGTACGACACTTAATATTGCTTCCAGAACCTTTGGATTTTTGGCATGGACAGAAATTCTGGTGGGTTTGCTGGTTCTGCTCCCTGCTTCCTTGTCGGCTCTTGAATGTTTTATTTTCTCCCCCAATTGTTGAGACAGCTGGCAGATGGTATGATCCCTAACCCTGAGCATTGTGCAATTCTTCTCATCCTCCCCCTGTCCTATCAGGCACATTTCGAGATTCCATTGATCATGGAGCTTGAGTGTGGGTGGCTGGTTGGAGAGTTCTGGCACATATTCCATACCAGTATCGAATATATTTGGGGGGGGGTTATTGAGGGGTCCTCTTCTTTGGCCTTCCGAAGGAGCAATGGACCGTTGGCGAGAAGCATGGTTGCGGGTCCTTGAAGAACCGCCATTTTCAGAATCGGTTGTCGTGAGAGCTGGGTCTGTAGTCTGATATCTCAAAGAGAATCCACTCGGTCTTTGCCCCGGCCGTGGTGACCGCAAATAGTCGTTCCCCTGGAGCGGGGGTTTTCCCTTGTCTTGTTTTGCCCTACGATTAGAGATTAGATTCTGTTTCAACGAGGGTAGTTTCACTCAAGTCTTATCATACATCGTTTTGCGGCGTGTTTGGTGGGCGGGCGCTTGTCGCGTATGTACGGCAGTAGGTCCCTTAGTTGGGGGTGACGAGAGTCTGTGCCCCTGCTAACTCGTCTGTTAATGAACTTTACCATAATCCAAGGGGGTAATGACCTTCGGTAACGTGGTGTCCTCTACTTGAGTGTTGTGATAATTGTGTCGTTGATTTGCTGCTAACTTGTTTGTGTAAGGTCGGGGCCTGATTGAGTTTCCTATTACCAAAGAGAAATCTAGGATTAGTTGGGAGACCACACAAATGTTGGAAAAAACGAATCAAAAGGGCCCAAATACTTACGCAAGATTGAAAGGGGAAAAGGTTTAAGACTCGTAGTACACCTAGTACCATGTATTGGGCTTGTTCTATTCGGGTTGGGATTTGAGGGAGGGATTCGGGGAGTAAAGAGTTTTATCTATGAGTACCGTAGAGTGAAGGAGTAGCTCTTAAAACACCGGGCGAGATGACGAGACTGCCGGTTTTTCTCTAGCATATGATATAGATTCCTATTCCACTTGAGGCTAGCCGAACAACAAGCCAAGCTAACCTAGGGTCTGGGCCAAAAAATTCGGCCCCATGGCGGGGGGGATAAAAGTTTACTTGTACTCGTACATCCCGATAAGCCAGAGTCTCTCTATTGGCTCTGTGAGACTAACAACTACCGGGTTCTGGCATGCAGAGAGCGTGTCTCACTAGGGAACACAACGTGAGAACATCGGCCCAGTAAACAGCACTGTATGGTGAGTAACTCAGTGCTGGTACAACATTATTTCGCACAACCTCGACGTGCCGTAGCCTGGTTCTACCACTCGTCCGGAGAAGGCGGCACAATGCCGGTACTATACGATATGATACTTGCCCTAGCACTCGGAGACAGGTGTTTGCGAAATGTACAGTACAGTACGGCAAAAAAGCTGTGAGTATCTGAGGGCCCTACAAATTCGCGACCCTGCTTCCTGATATCTATTGCTAGAGACAAGTACTGTGCAAGTCTTGCGATAGAAGAGGATGTGGTAAATCAGGGGCTATCCAGGACAAAATCGTGTAGGTTGGTTAGGTGATTGAGCTGGGGTCAACAAGGCTCATTCACCAGAATCGCAAATTTAGCTCACGCCGCTCACTTTCAAGGCGTTCTCCCTTCCCACGGTCACAAGGAAGTTGGACCCTTCTGCGGGTGGGGGTGGCTATGAGAGAGATACGGTACCCGAGTGTCTGTCACGCTTGGCCAGTTCTGGGCTGCTGTTTGGATCAACAGACTGTAGGAAGACTGTTGAGAACTCATGGCTCTGGGGCCCTGTACTTGACGTTGCCTGCGGTGCTTTTACAAACCGGCTGCCTCCGATGTTGGCTTTTTTCAGCTCCCGTGGGTAGGGAGGGATATAAGCTCTGATCCCCATGGCCACCGCTTCTCAAAATTTCATACTTTTCACTCAGTATCCGGAAGTCGACATGGCCAAGACAGATAAATTCATATTCGACTATATCAACGAGCGAAAGCTAAATGTTACTACCGACTCCGACGAAATTGGTCATGATCCGATGGCTTGGTTTCAGGTTTGCATTCTCTTGGTTTCTTAACAGCAGGCCTAAGTCAAGTTATCCTAATTAACCAATCTTATATAGGGTGCCGATGTCGTTTGGATGTTAATTTGTACTATTCTGGTGATGTTGATGCCGGCCGGAATAGGGTTTTTTTATTCGGGGATATCAAAGCGGAGGTCTGCTATGTCTATGATCTGGATATCGTTTCTGGCAATGTCGGTGGTAGGAATACAGGTAAGATTGATTACTTTAGTTACAGTCAGGGCCGGTTCGACGAAGTCACACTAACATAACTCTAACAACGCTAGTGGTATCTTGTAGGCTACGGCATAGCTTTTGGACATTCAGACAACCCATTCTGGGGTAGTATTGCGGGCATTGCTCTGAGGGATGTCCTTACCAGACCAGTCGGGAACCAGAATGGACCCCCGATCCCGGAATTACTTTTTGCTCTCTTTCATGGTGCATTTGCCTCTTTTACGTTAGTAACCACTCAGGAACATAATCCCGATTACCCGGAAACTGCTGACCTTCACTTAGCGCTTCATTGATAGGTGGAGCTGTCGTGCAAAAGTTTCGAATAGTACATTTTTTGGTCTTTATCTTCATCTGGACTACCTTTGTTTATGCACCTATTGCACATTCGACATGGAGTCCGTCAGGCTGGTCCAACAAGCTAGGTGCACTAGACTATGCTGGTGGAACAGTGGTCCATATGAGCGGAGCATGTACTGCTGCTGTGTACTCGGTATTCTTTAAATGGAGATTCCGATTCTATAGGTCTTTCTCGGCTAGAGGACATGGAGCTACGGAGCAGGAGCGCCAAGTGGAGCATGGAGAAGGTGACGAGCCGGACGGGGCCAAAGAAATTGATGATTCTGCTGTTATACCTTACCGGAGTGAAGCGGAATTAGCGAAAGCAGCCGCTTTCCCTAGAGATGATGAAAACCCTGACAACGTTTTCCACGTCGTGCTTGGGACGACCCTACTCTGGGTGGGGTGGATGGGCTTCAATGGAGGCACGACATTAGGAGCGAACTTAAGAACAGTCTCAGCACTTGTTTCGACGAACCTTGCTGCATGCTCAGGCGGACTAACATGGTGCTTTTTGGAATTCTTTTTCTCCAAATACAACCCCGAGCGTGATCCCACAGGTTGCCCGAAACGGAAACCTGTTCCAAGAAGACTCTCGATTCTTGCCTTTTGTAATGGTGTTATCTCTGGTCTAATAACAATTACACCAGCTGCGGGTTACGTATGACAGGCATATTTTCGTCCGTTGTGTGTAATGGCCTTTGTGCTGATATGGGGTTTTTTAGGTGCCATTGCATAGTGCTATATGTTTTGGGGTTGTGGGTGCAGTTTGCTCGAACTTCTCTGAAGTGTTAAGCAAACCTATAGGTGACATAAACGATATATTCTCTATCCATGGGGTCTCGGGCTTCGTTGGGATGCTTCTAACTGGCGTGTTCGCACGGTAAGTTGTGTTAATCTTACCTGCCGTTGACAGGGATTTAATTAAACAATAGGGACGATATTGCCCGTCTTGATGGATACACAAATATTCCAGGCGGAGGTCTAAATGGAAACGGGAGGCAGATTGCGTAAGACTAACCTTCCCGGAGTCCTATGGTACTGCTGACATGACAGCTACACAGGTTGCAGCTCCTGGATGCCGTCGTAGGCGGGCTGTATGCCGCTGTTGGCACACTCGTTATCCTGATTTTTATGGAGGTGGTTCGATACATTGCGACTCGCAGAATAAAACCGGTGGAAGCCATTTTTGATGGGGATCAGATAGTAAGACGGGAACTTCCAGTTGTATGACCCAGCATGGGCAGGAGGCCGGAATACAATATTAAAGTGCCTTGGGGGGGGGGGTGCTTTTCATATCCTTGTTTTCAATGGGGTTCGTTACTGGTTTCTATGATAAGTCGGGCTGGTCTGGAGAGGTAACGCGTTGGTTCGGCATCTGGGGACACCAAGTGATAAGGGAAGTGATGGGTTTCTTGATACTTACTAGAGCAGGATGCACAAATAAAAAATCTCGTCACTACTTGACTCTGGCATGAATGTCGATACCTCGATAAGGCCGGGGAAATTTTTCGTGACCAAGCCGATCTGGATATGAATAGTAACTTAGTTTACTTTGGAGAGGCTTGGTGGATGATCATACCCCCCCAATTAGTCATTGCTCTTCCGGGGATCACAATTCTTATTATCTCGCCACCGTGTCTAACTTGCATGTTACCAAGGCTGTTTGTTTTAGCTACGGGAATCAGTTCCTCAGTCCTTGCTATGGTATCTATTTTAAGGATCCTGCAAAATTTCCTCGGGTATCATACCGTATGTGTCAAAGGTGCCTTGGGGCAACTTCTATGCGAAGTACCGTAGATAAGAAAAAAGTGGGGGAAAGAATCTAAATCCGTCACTAAAGAAGAAATTTACTTTGTTATGGAACCCTTTTTGGGACTTGCTCCAATGTGAACGGTGCACACAACGGACAGTTCCATCCCACATTGTCTCAGATCATTGCTTTTTTCGCGCGGGGACCTGGTTGGTGGCATGTTACTCAGCTGCTGCAGATAAAAATCGTGCAATGTGACAAGGCTGTGAAATATGAATCGACACGGGAAGAGAAACCGTTCTCTCCGGATTGCCTTTGAGGTATTGGGTCAGAAAGTGCGAAGAGATCAAGTTTGTGGTACTGGAAAGCTATCGGCTTCCCGGATGGAAAGTATTAAAACCAGGTTCAGGATTCTGAGCCTTGTGCTTTAAATCTTGGGATTACTGACGCGAGTGCTGCGCTGGTGCTGGTTTTCACGCCCTAACAACTGAACAAACCTGGTTACTGGAGTGTAGAGCCTGGTGTGTGCGCTGTCAAACAAGTTAGAATACCGGTATTAGGCGAAGAATCGACCCGGTACTCGAGTGCTCGGGAATTCTTTACTCGGAGAACTTCAGACAGAAAAAGATGCCAAACTTCAAACTGTAGGGGTTACTAAAAAGCTACTTTTATCCTCGCTTCCTCTCTCTTAATATCAACTTCTGGGAGAGCTATCGGGATTTAAAGTTAGGTGTGCTCTGTCCAGAAAAAAATTATGGAACAGTTATTTGAAGTAAACCAGCCAAACATATCGCCATCTACCCAAGTCAAGTGGTCCTGGCCTTGTCCTGAGATCCAAGCATTGCATCAGGTAATTACCTGTTAATATCGCCAAGAAAGAAGGATTAGTTGATGGCCACCCGTTGGCACGTTAATTAACATGCATGACCCCTGCAGGAGTCCATCAACATGAACAGACAGGGATATATTACAACCTTAGATAAGAGTTCCATAAATTCTTGCTCCACCTTGTAACTGTAAATAGAAAGTCGGTAGTGTTCTAGTTTAAGGTTTCCACCACTGTACGCATCGCTGAGGCTTTCTGAACTAACCATCTTAATTGCAAGCTTCTTGTATTGTTGTTCCGCTACTATCATGCACTACCCACCAAGACCTGCCCACAAGATATGACTCAAACTCCAAGTCTCAAGGCTGAAGGTGTTGATTAGACAGATGATCCACTGTGACTTCACTCCTTTCCCATAGATGGCCCACGTCTCTCCCTATCCATCCACGCATTGGTTCAATCCACGTCGAGAGCACCCTCAGCAGAGCCTAGGGTGTAACAAGAATGTCTATACGAACAATCCTTGTGACATAAATGCTGTACGTGTATCTCAGTGTCCACGCACTCCCGCTTCGCCGTCGGCAACTATATGCGGAAATGGTGATCGAGTACGGCCCGGGGGTTCTGGTGTATTTCACCTGTTTCAGAGCCTTGACGGGGCATCAGACTTACCTGGGGGGCACGAGACCCAAGGGGAAGCTTCAAACTGTTTGAATTGCGCTTGCGAGGCATACTTGTGGCGGGATGGAGTTTAGGAGGCATTTTTTCGCATGCCAAGATCGATTATTATTTCGTGGGGGCGTTATCACAATCCGCCAACAAGGCTGACGTTGGCTTCACTTGTCTGAATACCGGCAGATGAATTGGACTTGTACAGCCGCATCCGTAAAGTTCTCATACCCTTCCTCGTACCTCAAGAGTTGTGTCCATTAGCAGCAGGAGAACAAGAAGGAGTTTTTAGATGACTGTTCTCGGATATGCCTTCAGGGATGTTGAAGGGGTTTTATCGCGTGTTGATTTTGTTTTGCCGGGTGGTGGGGGAGAGAGGTGATTGGAAAAGAGTCCCCAAGGATCGAGGAGCACAGTACTGTACTCTGAAAGGTGCGAGAACTGTACGAATGCGGCTGTACAAGATTTTGGATGTCTGAATCCGCTCCAATTAATGTACCGGTACTCTATTATCGGTGCCACCACGCCAACACAACCCAGTAGGGATGACTGAGCTACTTGTATGGGGGCAACTCCAGCACGCCTCCCGTGTACCGATATTCGGGGCATGTTGTGTGCGCTTTCCCCGCGCTATTTGTTGCGCCGAGACAGCGCCGGTACGATAGGAGATAAATGTGCTAGGGCGCTGGAACCGCGCTTCCCGGATAGGGTGGAGGGAAAGCGCCGCAGACTCAGCCCTCAATTGGCACATAATGAGAGGAATATACTCGAGTACACAGCGCCTTACTTTCGCCGAGGTATGCAACTACCATGTTCTAGAATATTCGTATCTATTACTTGTAATACTAGGTACCCCTGAAAACAGCTAGTTCAAAACTGCACAAAGACAGCGCTAGCCCGTTAAGGGATTAGGCGGGGAAGTTAGCGGGCAAGGATACCGGTACGCGGAACGAGTGTTTCATGAATTGTAAAGTTCTCTCCATCAACCTGAGGGATCCTCCACCAACACGCCCGGTATATGACAATTCAACGCCCACAAAACCCACCAGAGATTTTGCACTGGTGGAGTGGATATACTTTTTTCCAAAATGGTTAATGACCATACCTCGCCAGGTATTGGCAAGGACAGAGGGCCGTATCTGTAATCTTTTTCAACGGTGGTCTATCGGTACAAAAAACCCACAAAAAACCCACCGGCTGTGACACCCTTAGGATGTACGATAGGATTCAAACCGATTATCCACGCTTACTAACTGATGGTCCGAAATCGGCATGTGAAGGTGCGATTTGGCGGCCAGGAGTTTCAGCCTTGTGTGGTGCGCGCGCAGAAGACTGCTGCTGACTTGACTTATCTTCCTTTTTCACGGTACCCCCGGGAACCGTTTTCGCACCAGGCAGGGACAGTTTACTAGAATGATAATAATCCCAGCCCTGCACGAAATCCTCTCCCACGTACTGTACTGTACTTGTGTCATACGGGTTCTTGCTGACTTTGAAAAGCTCCAGGCGCAGGGTACCGTGCAGCTCGTCTTTTACGATTTTAACATCCTCGAAAACAGCGGACGGCCGGACACATCCTAAACCAAATACGAATGTCAAGCTATTAAATTAGTTGATATTTGCGTTATCGTGGTGTGCTGAGGGAAGAGGTGTCGTTGCCATACCCTCAAGGGTTAGCGTTTTGGCTACCTTACCAGTAGTTTCTTCGTGTCCTCGTTGGCCTGTACTCGTAGTCTACTTATCATATCTAATGCTTGCTTTCCGGTCTTGTGCCTGATTGGGCAGGTGCTATTGAAATCTTGATTAGCTGGTAACCTGTACCAGTCTGTTCTTGGAATAACTATGATAACGTATTGGACCAGGAAGCGGATCAGACGGGGAAGTGAACCAGTTAAAACGCACGAAAAAGGTCGAAATTTCAAATTCTCGATTGACTCCTGGCACCAGGAAGATGAAATACAACGGTGTAGGAGGTATTCCAGATAGCACATGATTCTAGATTTGACCCTTTTGGGCCAAATTCGGATGTTTGGTTTTGAGGAAATTTCTGCACTGAGGATTTGATCAAAATTCACATAAAAAGTGATCCACTTCTGCGTTTGATCTTCTTCTTAGTCCCATACGTTAAGTCCAACTTTCTGATAATACCGGTATCGTGAGAAAAACGATTGGCATCTCTGGTGTTCAAGAGACTCCACTAACCTCGTGCATACCCGGATACTAGCATTCCATGCGCGTATAGAGAGGTCTCTATCTGAGCCGAACAGAACAATCGGAATATACTGGTACATCCGGTAATGCAGAAGATGGAATATAACCCTAACCCTGAAAGCCCTGCTTCCCAAGACCATCGACATATAACGATCAAGAACTGGAATAATTGGGAATCTCGCTGGGACGTTGGAATCCCCCCCTTAGTAAGGTCTGTTTATATTTTCCTTTTTACTTGTCTCAGCCGTGGGCTGAGGGAGAATATCTTTTCGCTGCGCTTTCTCCCCTTAATCCAAAGGGTGGGGAAATCTGGACGTCCTAGCACCATTCTCAATTATCCCACTTCTTATAGTACGCTACCGTACTTTTAAAGGGCCAGGCCAAGGATTTCTCCTTTCCTGACTGCGATCGAACTAACTCTTACCACCGGAGATGGTTCTACGGTAGTTGCGGTGGTGCATTTTTTTAGGGCGGGTCTTGATTTCTTTTGGCTAGGGGGTATTTCTTTTTTGTATGGGTGTTTGAACCGGATCCAATACCGGTGCATCATACTGGGAATATAGTAAGCGGTAGTAGGTATTAGATCAATTTATCATAGATACCCCTTACGAGCTCTTGAGTGAGCGATGCCTCCCACTACTCCGGGGTTTCATTAGAATTCAAGCTATTTTCTCCTATCTTTATTGAGACGGGAGGTTATAAAGACTAGAAGATCAGATAAAGCGAATGGGATCACCGTGGGTCAGGCACAACTGGAGGTGGCAAGATAGTAAGGTGAACGCGAACCACCTCTGGAGGGCGCTAATATCAAACTATAATAGAAAAAATATCTTCCAAACGACCCTCAACGATTGAAGCTAAGTGAACCTCTACGAACCATATATCGAATCAGTGGAATCCGGCGAAGCACCCTGGCAACAGCAGAAGAACAGCAGAAATTCCTGCTAAAAGCAAATAAACGATCTGCCATGACCCCGAACGATCCACAATCATGGTGGGGGAAAAAAA